AATCTGGCTCCCTGTCGCTTGAGCCCATCCTTAGCTATCCTGCACTCCGGGAGGATGAGGAACAGATCCTGTCCTTCCTCTCTCGATCTACCTAATCCAGTGCCAGGGTGTGGAGAGCTCATTCCCAGAGGTCCAGATCGGTAGGTCCTGCTCAGCCTCCTTCTAGATCACAGGTAGAGGAGCTCGGAGAGGCTCCGGGGAAGGGTGGGTTTGAAGGGTGGGTAAGGGAGAGGGAAAGGCCTTCTCCATCGGAACGGGAAAGTGGCCCAGAACCGAGATAATTGGGAGAGAAGGTTGAGGGAAGAAAGCCGCTTCTCTCAGGGTGCGGTGGCGTTCTGTTCCATGGACACCCCTAAAGTTTCCTGCCCTTCAAGAGAAAATAGGACAACCGTCTGTCAGATCTAGATTCCTTCCTGCTTTCAGTGTGGGGGGGGGGAATGGACTCCATTATTCTGTGTTTCTGAACAATGCCGGCTACCGGCTGGCCAGCAGAGCCGGACGAGATGAAGAAAGCAGTAGCCACTTACTTTGCTTTGTTCTGCTGGGAAGTCGTCCGAAGGAGGCCTGCAGAAAACTTCTGTGTCTTCCTGGTTTGGGATGGAGGGGAGAGGGAGAAGGGGCTGAGGACCTTGGCCTTACCTCCGCCCAATATTACTTCCAGCTGAGGTTTTGGGACTTCAACTCCCAGAATCCCCAGCCAGCGTGACCACGGTCGAAGGGTGGTGAGAGGTGTCATCGGACAGCCATCTGGCCGGCTGTTCCTCATCTTGAAATTTGAGTGTAATCTACTGGATTAATTTGGGTTTCTCTTTAGCAGCCGGCTGGAGATACGTCCCACCTCGGAGCAGCAACAGATCTTGAACCATGCCATCAAACCGAAGCAGGTTGTGAAAATCATGGCGTTTGCAGGTAAGGCCTCTCCGAGGTAGGGCAGTCTTCGCAACTCAGTCTGGGAAGGCGTATTTTTAAAAGGACCTTGCCTGTCTTTCTGCTGTGACCTTTTCTCTCCCTCTCTAAAGGGTCAGGGTCAACCCGAAGCCCGCTTGGATCTCTTAAGAAAACTCTCGTTCTAATTGTTGGGTTCTTTTAACACAAGGCACCCATTTTTTCACAGTTTTGCCTTTCTTTATGGAGGGTCAGCAGGTGTCTGCAAGTGGAGTGTGCAGACCCTGCAGCTTTGAAGGAATGAGTCTCAAGAGGGGCAACGTTGGATTACTTTCTGTAATCTCTCTCCTGTCGTTTAAAAACGTCTTCTCTGCTCACGTTCCCTTAGAGACCCACCAGCCTGAAAATCTTTCCAAAACAGCTACGATTGGTGGTGGGCGTGATGTTGCTCATGAGCTGCATGTGGCTTCCAGTGGCTCAAAGGTGCCCAATTAGTGGGCTCAGTTTTAACATCCTCCAACTTAAAAAAAATATTTTAATGGCCACTAGAGGGCACAATGCAGCTTTTTCAATTTAAAAAAAATCCATTCTTAAGAGAAAAAAATGGAGTTCAGGATAATGGGAGCAAGTGCCAGCCCTTCAGGGCCTTTGTGTGTGTGTGTGTCTGTGTCTGTGTCTGTGTCTGTGTCTGTGTCTGTGTGTGTGTGTGTTTGTTTTGGATTACGGAGATCACTTACACCCCCCCAAGTTCTATGAGATGCCACCCCCTCTCCACTTAGAAGGGTGTTTCCCAACCCGACACTTTCCGTGTGTGTTGGGCGATGGGTCCCATCGTCCCCTAGCCAGGTGACATGATAGAAGTTGTAGTCCAAGGCCTCGGGAAGGCGCTCGGTGGGCATCATAAGTTGCGTTACAAAGCCTGACCCAAAAGACTTGAGATTCTCCTCCTCCTCCTCGCCCTAGGCACCGGGAAGACGTCCACTCTGATCAAGTATGCCGAAAAGTGGTCCAACCTCAAATTCCTCTACTTGGCGTTCAACAAGACCATCGCGGAGCAGGGGTTGCGCGCCTTCCCCCGGAACGTGACCTGCAAGACGGTCCACTCTTGCGTTACAAAGCCTGACCCAAAAGACTTGAGATTCTCCTCCTCCTCCTCGCCCTAGGCACCGGGAAGACGTCCACTCTGATCAAGTATGCCGAAAAGTGGTCCAACCTCAAATTCCTCTACTTGGCGTTCAACAAGACCATCGCGGAGCAGGGGTTGCGCGCCTTCCCCCGGAACGTGACCTGCAAGACGGTCCACTCACTGGCCTTCGCCGAAGTGGGCAGGAAGTAAGCTCTGGATTTTCCTCCCTGGTTCCGAAGCGCAGGGCCGAGGGCTGGTTTGTTATCCCTTCCTTCACTCCCCATCCCTCCCACAACCCTACGCTGGTTATCACGTGCCGCCAGAGGGATCGAAGAGCGCCCCTTTATCCCACGGAGATGTAGAAAGCCCGGTTGCGCATTTAGAGCGTTAAAAGAGTGGGGTCCAGGTTTTCTGACTTTGCCACTGCCAGGGACCTTCTAGACCCCCGAGAAGGCAGTAAAACCCAGAAGTGCTCAGAAATTGGGGTCTAACAAAGGGACCCCTTATATCTTTAAGGGATCAATTCCCCACCCCTGCAGATGCTGAAGAAGAATACTATTTTGATAGCTAACACTATGCTTAGCATGGCCTCTGGCTCTCTCTAGGGGGTCAGTTCTGGTGATTTCGTTGTTAAAAACAGATGTTTGGGGCGGATTTTTCTTTTAATATTTGTAAATGTTTTCCGATCGTCACTAAGTGAATCAGCGGATAATCATCCTGTGGATAAGGAGGCGCTACTGTTTTTCTAGTGTAAAATTGTTGGGAGGCCTGTGGTCTATTTAAAAGATGAATCGACACGCCTTGAGGTTTTCAGGGGCACAATTTTTTTTTTCTTTTCCTTGCTGGAGGACATAAATTTGTTGGGAGGGATCACATTAGCTTTTGCCTGCCGAATTTCCGCTCTCTGATATTCTCCATGCCACAGACATTAGGCAGACTGGGAAGCCTTGTTATCGTTTCACTGGCCAGAGAGAAGGGCAGTCCGTCTGGTTGATATTGGACCTGTTATTAAGCAGACCAAAACTGTCATCCAGGAGCTGTATTTCCCCTGCATTCTTCCTCCGTGACGCCATGAGGAATAGATCTCCTGTTCTCGGCCAGACAAGGCCTGTTTTCATGTTTCCAGATGTATTTATAAACCCCTTGATCGCTGTCAGGTTTCTCTCCTGACACCCGCGCCACCTGTTTGCCTCAGGCTTTCTGGTTGCAACTGATTATCCCCAGTGAAGCCCAGAAAAAAAACACACACTGGGAACTGGGCCTTTTCCGTGGTGGCTCCAAGGCTCTGGAAGGCTTTACCTGTATTAATGCACCAGGTTTCCTCTCTCCTTACCTTTAGAAAGCTCATAGAATCTGTTTTTTTTAAAAGAGTCCCTTAAGAGCGTCCTGCCGTTTGGAAGGGGCTGGCTAATTCATTGTTCGATGTCATGTTTTTAAAAGTCATATACAGTGGTGCCTCGCTTGACGAGGATAATTCGTTCCGTTCAAATTGCTGTTAAGTGAAATCTCATCAAGTGAATTTTAAAAACCCATGGAAATGTATTGAAAACCATTCAATGTGTTCCAATGGGCTAAATACCTGCTTGTTTTGCGAAGATCCTCCATAGGGCGGCCATTTTCCGGTGCATGTAAAGCGAGGAATCCGTCCTAAAGCACAGCGGGGGGCCATTTTGCACAGCGGGCGGCCATTGTAGAGCCACCAATCAGCTGTTTTAAAATCGTCGTCTAGCGAAAAATCGGTTCCTGAAGCAGTTAAGTGAAGTAAGATAATCGTTAAGTGAATTTTCCCCATAGGAACATCGTTTTGCAATCGCAATAGCGCTCACAAAAACTTCATCGTAAAGCAGTTTTGTCATTTAATGAGGCAATCGTTAAGTGAGGCATCACTGTATTCTACTTTTACAGCTGTCTTTTTTGTGGGGCCTGTTTGGTGTGTTGATGGGTGCAGGGTGGGAGAGAATAAGATGTTATAGACCATCTGGGGATGGGGGTGGCTTGGCACTAAATCGGTGGTATATAAATGTATCCAGTGAATGAATGAATAAATAATACACAAAGATGCCTGTATCTGCAGGTGATCAGTTCCAAACCCCTTGTCCGTGGATGCTGAAAAATGTGGATGATAGTAAATGCTGTTTAATAGCAAATGCTATATATACTGTGGTCTTTGGGGCCCTCTAGTGGTCAGATTTGATAATGATATGATGGAAATATATTTCTCTAGTTATGGTCTCTGGTTCCCTCTAGTGGCCAGTCCTGATAACGTCATCTTTAGAAATCTAGATTTGTAGGATTTTTCTTTTAATATTTTCAGACTGTAGATAAACGAATCAGCGGATACCGATCCCGCAGAGAATAGGGTCCTGCTGTGAATAATTAAATTAAAAAATTACTGCTTTTTGTCCGTCTGTTTTCCCTGACACCCCATCCCCGTTTTTCAACCTCTTTCAGTTATAGACAAAAAGGCAAACTCAACTTAAGTTTGCTTTCTTCCTACTGGGTCAGTATGGCCCTCCAAAACCGGGAAGGGCAGTCGCTGTTCATAAGAGGCAAGACGGTCCTTCAGACGCTCAGCACCTTTTTTGCCTCTGCGGATGACGCCATCACTGAGGAGCACACGCCCCTCTGGTGTAAGAACACCAAAGGAGAACGAGTCCCCGTAGGGACGGAAGAGAAGAGGGTGAGTACCTCGAAGCGCCCGGGTGGGTGGGTTTAAACGGGGGCCGTTTCGGTCAGAAAGGCTTGAGAAAAGCAGGAGCCACAGAAGAACCTTATGGTTCCTCTAAAACTTACAGATTGATCTCAGGGTAAGCTTTGATTAGGGGACGTGGTGGCGCTGCGGGTTAAACTGCAGAAGCCTCTGGGCTGCAAGGTCAGAAGACCACCCGTCGTAAGATCGAATCCATGCAACGGAGGGAGCTCCCGTCGCTTGTCCCAGCTCCTCCCCAACCTAGCAGTTCGAAAGCGTGTAAAAATGCGAGTCAATAAATAGGGACCACCTCAGTGGGAAGGTCACGGCGTTCCGTGTCTAGTCGCACTGGCCACGTGACCACGGAAACAGTCTACGGACCAACGCTGTCTCTCTATGGCTTGGAAACGGAGTTGAGCACCGCGCCCTAGAGTCGGACTAAAATATCAAAGGGAACCTTTACCTTTACTTTTAAGCTTTGATGGATCACCATCCCCATCCTCAGACCTTCTTTACCTTGAAATAAATGTGAGGATCTTTAAAGGTGTGAAACCTCATTTCCTTTTCCTTTTTGTTATAGACGCTAGGTCAGTGAGTTAGGTCTCTGACTGCAGGGCCAGAGGTGGGGTGTTTAATTCACTGTGTCTCCTGGAGAGAAAAGCCAGCCTGGGTGGCCTTGGGCCAGCTGCACAATAGTCCCAGGGATTCAGAAATAGTTGATTTCAGCCTTAAAGTTTAAGGCCAAGTGTGCATTCTTGAATTTATTGTTATTATTATTGTTTCAAAGATCATTGTTGAAGAAGCAAGCTTATTATGGGACAATATGAAGAAGCTGACTGCAACCAGAGAGATGGCGTACAAGATGACCCATGATGGTAAGTGGCAAGGTTGTGTGTTTGTTAGAGAGAGTGTGTTAGAGAGTGTGTTTTTATGTGTGTATCTATTTTTAAAGTATTTTAAAACCTCTTTCCTGCCCACTAAGGTGCCCAAAGATGGCTGGATAGCTCAGTGAGTTAAATATCTGTCTGCAAAGTCAGAGGGTGGGAGTTCGATTCCCCCCCCCTCCTGGTGCATCTCCAGAGCCAGCCTGGGGGGCCTTGGGCCAGCGGCACAGTCGTCCCAGGGATCCCCTCCCAGAAGAAGGGAAAGGGGAACCCTTTCGGAGTTCTCTCTACCTTGAACACCCTCCCAAAAAAAGGGTCTTCATAATTTGGAATTGACTTGATGACTCCCCAAGTAATGTATGCGAAAACATATATAAAATATGTGCTTAAAGATGGTTAAGAAAACCATTTTAAAAAGACACCCCATATTCAGCAATTGGAACTGCAGCTCCCGGAAGCCTTTGCCACCTGCCGGGGTTTCTGGGAGTTGCAGTTCCAAGAACACTTGGTTGAGCCAAGGCTGGGAAGCCCAAGTCGAGAGGGTGTCGTGAACTTGGGAACGGGCAGAAAAATTGGCAAGTGGGTTTGGGAACATCCAATCCTAGTTGGAAAAAAAAAAACACCTAGATTTTTGTTTGAATGCATTGCGTCTTTCTGTGCGTGCCTCCCTCCGGCAAAGAGTTTAAACATCTTGATCTAGAGGAAAATCGCTCTTGGTCAACAGTATCAAGGCATAGGTATATTCGCCGTTTTTGGGCACGGTAAAATAGCTTTGGGGATTCAAGGCAGAACTCAAAAGCTGCCAGCAATGGCCGTGCAGGGAGGAGAGCTCAGATTCCCACCCGTGGTTTAACACAGCCATCTCCAAAATTATGCCTTCCAGATGTATTATAGTTCAACTTAAAATCTGTCTCCCTTTGTGAGCTTTTGGGTTGGAATGCAGTAGAGAGGGTGGCCTTTTGAGAAGTCAGCTGGGCTATTTGTCTGTTGTCCTGTAAGCTTGATAGCATGAACCTATTCGGGGACGATAGGAAAGGATTGTACCACGGGAGGACCCCTGTATCTGCGGGGGATCCATCCCAAGGACTCCCACTGTGGATGCCGAGAAACACAGATGATAGCAAACACTATACATAGCACTGTTTCTGGCTCCCTCTCGTGACCAGATCTGGTAAATTCATCATTCGAATTAGGTATGTCTAGGATTTTTCTTTTCATGTTTTTAGACAGCGGATAAGTGAGTCAGTGGATACTGATTTTGTGGATAAGGGGGTCCTACTGTATTTCTAATGATACATATATTGCTGAGTAAAAAAATATTAAAAAATAGAAATAATGACATGTTATACTCATTTTGGATGGGCACTCATCTTCTGAAATGAGGGGAATGTGTTATGGGAGTTGTAGTTAGTGCAGAGATGTGCTTGACATATGTTTCTTGTCATTGTTTTTGGTTTCAAACACTCCTTATATCTTCCCTCTAGGGTATTTGAAGCTGTGGCAACTCCAGAAGCCTTCTCTTTCTGCCTACGACGCGATTTTTGTAGATGAGGCCCAAGATTGCACGCCCGGTGAGTCACAGAAAAGGCTGGAGGGGGGGACGCTTAGGCCCACCCCAGGCGAGCCGAAAGATGGCAGAGGGCTGCTTTAAATAGCATACGATACAACGGCGCTAAAAAGAAGGGGTTGCAGCTTAAATCAGGACCGTTTCTGTCCCTGTAAAAATGTCCCTTAATTGAAAAACCGGCCAAAAGGTTTAGCTCCTCTGAAAACAGTCAGACCTCTGTGTGAGCCCTAGGTAATTTTTTCTGGGTAAAAACTATCAAAATTCTTCCAGTTCAAAACAATTGTACGGTGGGACACCCTCCCCCCCCATATCTGTGAGGGATTGATTTGAAACTGCCCCCCCACAGATGCTGAAAACTGCGAATAATAGCAAACACTATACACAGCAGGGTTAAAAGGAAAAAAAAAATCCAGAAATTCATATTCTCACTGTGTTTAACCAGAGCTGAGCCATTCAACTACAGGCATGGTCTGCGGCTCCCTCTAGTGCTCGGTTCTGGGAAATACATTTTGAAAATAGGTCTTCTCTTTTTTTTATTTTCATATTTTTAATATTTCCAGACTGTGGATAAATAAATGGTGGACATCGATCCCGCAGATATTTGGGGGGGGGGGAAGGCAACTTGTCCATATTCTCCTCTTGTTTAAATTCCTCGTATTGTTTTAGTGGGGACACCGTGTGCTGTCCTGCAGTGGTCACTCCGGGGTTCTTGAACTACGACTCCCAGAAATCCTGGCCAGCACAGCGAGGGGTGAAGGCTTCTGGGAGTTGTAGTCCAAGAACATCTGGGTGACTTAAGGTTGGAAACCCCCTGCTGTGGTGGGATAAAGTATAGAACCCGGGAGAGCTGGGTTCGAATTGCAACTTAGCCATGATGCACTGGGGACTGGCAGTGGGGAAATGGTTGTTCCAGTATCTCAACCCTCGAAAAGAACGTTGATATATACAAGAAGCCATTTGACAGATCACAGCCACGCAAACGGTTTTAAATGAGCACACATCCTAGAAATGGTATTCTCGAAGGCTTTCACGGCCAGGATCCTAGAAATTGTTGTTTTGAAGTAGAAAGCTGGTTACCTTGCTTCTTTTTTCGGGAGGGGGGGAATGTGGAACTCCGGTTTTGGAAGAAATCTCTTCTCTGCCTCCTGACCTTCAGCAGCAAAAAATATAAAAAATGATCTCCACCTTAAACCAGGCAAGATTGGAATACAGTAGATCCATGGGGGGGATCAGTTCCAACCCCCTCCCCCCCGGCGGATGCTGAAAAAAAGCAGATTATAGCGAATGCTATTTTAATTACAGAATCCATACATATCCTGGTCTCTGGCACCCTCTAGTGGCCAGTTTTGTTAAATTCGTCTTTAGAAATATTGTAAACATTTTTTAGACTGTGGATAAGTGAATCCGTGAATACTGATCCTGTGGATAACGGAGTCCTAGAGTACATGTTGTCTTGTCAGGATGGTTAGCTTTGGGATTCTTGCAAAGGCAAAGTTCTGGTCTTTTTTCCCTCTTTCTCTAGCAATTATGGACATTGTCCTCTCCCAGCCGTGCGGCGTGATCTTGGTAGGGGACCCACACCAGCAGATCTACACTTTCCGGGGTGCTGTCAACGCCTTATCCGAAGTGCCTCATACCCACATTTTCTACCTTACCCAGGTGAGACTGGGGCAGCCGCCCTGGTGAGATCCTTCGGTCCTCTTTAAGGAGAAAACCGGGGTAAAAAAATATTTCAAATAAACAAACAAAACTACTAGGCAGGTAGGTGCAACGCCGAGTTGATAGATATGAGATCCCAGAAGGAAGACTTGAATCTTTGCTTCCCTTTGTTTGAATTTGGAGCAGAACTTGGGGAAAAAAATACTTTTTTCAGGGGACTCTTGGCAGCTCTTTAAAAAGTCACTTTTCCAAGATCTGCGGGTGGCTTTCCCTTTTTCTGATTCTCCTTTTGAAATCTTGCCCTTGTGTTTCCCCTTCCTTCATTTCTTCAGAGTTTCCGATTCGGACCTGAGATCGCGTACGTCGGTGCCACCATCCTGGATGTCTGTAAGAAAGTCCGGAACAAGACATTAGTGGGCAGTAACCAGGAGGGTGAGAAGCTGAAAAAAATCTATAGCATTCCCATGGCTTTTCTGAGTCTTCTTTCTGTCTTTATGTAATGCAGGGCTTCCTCTTGATTTTGTCTTCATTTCCTTTTTTTTTGACAGGCGATGTCTCTGGGGTTGGCGTGACAGGGAAGGTGGCTCGCTTGTCCAGGAATAACCAGACGGTCTTTGAGGATGCGGTCAGTGTTACAAACGGAGAGGTGCCAGTTAAAATCCACATTCTTGGGGTAAGTATGATGTGCAGCCGAGGAGGGTGGAGAAATAACCCGATCAGGTGAAATAAATTGGCTTTTTGGGGCCTTGATTCTGGTTTTGACAACTAGGCATGTGTCTGCATTACGCTGTTCCTGCAGTTTGCAACCACTCATAGGGAATTATCTTGTTTTTCTGTTTATCCTCTTTCTTTTCCATCCTCTCTCCCAAAAATAGGGACCCAATGTGGCTTACACAGGGCTGGGAACACAAAATTTTAAAGTACAGTAGGACCCCCTATTCATGGGGGATTGGTTCTGCGCCCAAGCGGATGCTGAAAACCATGGATAATAGCGAACACAACGCATCGCATGGTAAAAGAAAGAAAAAATCCAGAGAAAAGGATTTCTCCCCGGTTCCCTCACTTTGACAGCCGTACAAAGAGTTAAGCAATTTTCCTGGGCCTCTCAGCGAAAGACTTCTGTTCCAGCCTGATTCGCTAATGCTGACGAATCATCCTTGACTCCACATTGTTCACTGTCCATGCTGTTATGTTAATTATTTCATAGCATTGTGGCAGTCTGTGACATGAAGGACAAGTAACTTGTATTTTGCGATGTTGCATAATGAAACACGGCCGAATCTGCCATCCTGCCACGATGACCGATTTGGCAGTAAGTCAAAGCAAAGCCAGTCCACTATCCATGCGGTTATCTTGATCCTGCTTAGAAAGTCCAGCGGTGCAACTGGGTGCAAGATCCCTCCGTCGATGGCACAGAATTCTTCAACGGAGCCGAGAAGTCTCTTAATGTCTTCTGTTTTTTTAGGGGCTTACTGCCTTTGGCCTGGAGAAGATACATGACGTCTGGAAGCTGCTCCACCCGGAAGGTGAGCCTCCTGAGCAGTCCGAGAACATCTGGGGACCCCAGGTTGGGAACGATCCGTTGAGCCATCCCTAAATGGCCTCTTCTTCCCTCTTTGTTTTTCCGGACACTGTTGAGAGGAAGAGGGCTCTGGACTCTACGTTGCCCGTTTCAGGCGCAGCCCCGTGTGGCTTCCCGCATTTTGTCCTGCCTTTGCTTTATCCCCCTCTGTGTGTGTTTGTTTGTGTTCTCAGAAAACCTGGAGGTGCAGGATCCCTTTTTCAGGAGGTGGGTCAAGAAGGGCTTCGGACGCCTCAAAGACTACGCAGTGAAGGCGGAAGACAAGCAGCTGGAGATGAAGATCGCGATTGTGGAGAAATACCGAGACCGCATTCCAGAGTTGGTGGAAAGGATCTCTCGGCACCACGTGCCTGGACAAGAGATGGCAGGCAAGGAAAATCGGGGCTCTGACTTGACCGGGAGGAAGAAAGGGGAACGGCGGTGTAACGGTGGAAACATTGAGAGGACAGCTGCCCTTTCTAAGCTCCTTCTGGGCCACTTCCAACTCCAGAATTCTAAGACCATCTAGGGTTTTTTTTTTTTACCTAGTCTATTGATTGGTCTGGAATTTTCATCCGTTTTATCTTTTTTTCATCCTGCGTTGATTTTCGTGGCTTGAGGGGCGAGGTGGGGAGGTTAGGATGGGAGGGATGATGGATGATGAGATAGGTGGATAAATAGATAGATGGGGAAGGAAATAATAGACATTTTAGATTTCGTCTTCTGGGACACGCAGCTGCTTCTGCTAACTAGGGAAGTAACTGTCGACTCGCTGGGCTGTTCCCATAATTCGTGGGGTCAACGCCTGTCAGCCTCTTTACACCGCTCTGCAAACACACACCCTACAGTATTCTGTTTTGTGTGCTGCAGATTGCATCCTGGGTACTGTGCATAAGGCCAAGGGGCTGGAATTCGACACCGTCCAAGTCGCTGATGATTTCGTGAATGTCCCGTTTGCTCGGCACAACCTCAGAAGGCTGTCTGTCTT